AATTGTGCATATTAACTACCTAATTTGCATAATAGTTAATTTGTTGCTGTTGCACTGATGTCTAAATAACCACTCATTGGATTTTAATGAAACTTTTAAAGAGTACTCATCACATTTCAATGAACCTAGGACTATACACCATATTAGTTTTGGTAAATATTTATGCTTCTTAATCACCTAATTAACATAAATAATTAATTAATACTGATATCTCAAGTATTGATCATCACATTTGAATAAAACTTGGTACATAAATGCTCTAGGACAATAGACAGCCTGATTAATTTTGGGTTAAAATCTGTTCATATTAATTCTCTAATTAGCACAATAATTAATAATTTTTTGGTTCTAATCACATTTCAATGAAACTTGGTACATAGATATTACATTACGCAGATCTTATTACTTTTACATTGTGCAGACCTTATTAGAGTTACACTTAAATGTGTTCATATTAGTTACCTTATTTGCATAACTAGTTTTCTGCATTTCCATCAATATCTCAAGTTCAAGTAATTTTGAATTAATTTTTAATGTGTCTCCAATGCTCTCAGCACACGGGAGTTCTTTCTAAGCTTTCTTTGATTCTACATTTTCCTCACCCATTTTCTGGACATGTAAGTTATTTTAGATTTTCGTAAATAACATAAATATGTCTTGCTGTAATTAATTGATTTCAGTCATCTGCAAAAAAAATAGTTTTACATTGCATGCGCCTGATTCACGGACATTTATTACTGGTCGGCGTTTTTCGGTTACCCCTCCTCTATTGCTCCCTACAGAAGTAATCGCTTCGCCCACTAAGCTACTGAACTTTGACCTTTAGATAACGCCCTCAATCTAATGATTCATTGACAAAAAGTCAGACGCCGGTTTGATTCTGGTGTGTGATCAATCTGTTTTGTTTTGAAACTCAAGTCGTCCAACAAAATGTCGTACTGTTCGTGGTTTGGCGGAGAGAAGTACCGGGATACGTTTGACTCAGGTAAGAATATTGGTTTCCGTCCCCGTCTCAAAGAAACCTCGAAAGTTCGACTGAAATCAGGTGTGATCATTTGAAGAACCCGTATATACCACATCATTGTTACCATTTCCTCAAACCTTTCCTAGAAATATGATCATAAATGTTTTTTGAAGAACTAGTACGAAGGATATCCGGGTAGATTTCGCTCGACGGTACATGTAAACGACGGAGTGGAAGCAAAATTCTGATACCCCACCCCGCCCCAGACAACTACACTCAATAACTTAACATAATTTAATGAGCGAGTTAAACACGCAAAAAGTCAAATTTGAATACGAATGCTCTACTATTTTTGACTGTCCCCTGAGATTGTCCATGTCCGGGGTCGATGCACAGTCAGAAAAGTAGTTTACTGCAGTGTGGCGTCTATGGCATGCGACCACATGTAATGTGGTTATAAAACAATGTGATTTGTCAAAAGTTCTTATCTTTTGTTACCCTCTTGTTCATATCATGTTTGTTCACGTGAGAACTATCACCTATATATAATAACTCACTCGTCTTTAATTTCGCCTGTGTTGGTCAGTACATGGAACACGTTCCATGGTCAGTACAAGCTCTGTGGTCAGAATGTGATAAACAAAATAAAATTTAAAAAAATACATGTACAGTCTTATTCTATTCTTCTCAGTCCCTCTGTGTGCAGGCAGATTTTCACGATGTTCATGGGCTTTCACAAGAGTGAATAAAATGTCTTATTTTTATTTTATTCAAAAATATTACATAGTTGTTGATCTTAGACACAAGTCGTTAACTTTTGTGGGTTTACTACATATGAACAATATTTTGAGATACAAGTTGACAAAACTTTTTACCATAAGAACCATAAATCACCATTTTCATGGGGTTTTTTTTATCCATTTTTTGTGCAAAGGGTAGTTCAATGACAATACCCTTTGTTCTGGATTTTGTCATAGTAGATATAAAGCATATAAAATAAAGCCATTTGGTCAAAAAAATCTGAGGATGAGTTTTAATGGTACAGATATATCATGTATATATCAAAATTTTGTGGCTTCACAGTGTGTGTGTGCATGTAAACAAAACTGTATTTATATTTGTTATCTGTTATAGTATATAGTATATATAGTATCTGTATATAGTAAGCATGGTTTGTAGTTCTGTGGTACAAGTTAGAAATAATACACTAGTGATATCTGTCATCAGATTTTCTGTTCATTTGTTCTTACTTCTGTTAAGTTAATATAAACATTAAGGCGATATTTATATTTTCGTCAAGCCCAAGGTGATGGTTGGTATGAATTCCTACAAATATATGGCACACACAAAGTTGTTTAGATTAACATCTCAGTTGACCTTGCCTTTGTATTTTCAATGCTGGGAGGATTAGAGATGGATTTGTATGTCAATCCATAGACCTTAGAAATGACATTACAGCTCCCTGGTCAAACAGACCTTCTATAGGTAGCTTATTTACCATTACAGTGATTGACAAGAGTATATTGACAGGAGAATTTTAATTTTTCTTCTCTGCTCCAAACAATGATTTCAAGGATATCTTCATCAATGTTCAAGCATGGTTCAAGTAATCATTATAAATTTGGCATATAGTCAGTGCTATGAACTTCACAGTTGTAATTTATAGAAAATGAATGGGTTTTTCCAATTTAAGATTTGTTTTCACGATAACCTTTTTTTGAAGTTGGTAAAATGTTGTGAACTTTATTCTGTTGGCAACAATACACACAAAGACAGTGCTGGCATATTTTATATAGTAATTCATTATTACTTTGTGTTGTTTTTGTAATTTAGGTATATATGTATGCTCCAAATGTAGCTATGAACTATTCTCCAGTAAAACCAAATATGAGCACAACTCACCTTGGCCAGCATTTACAGAGACTATACACAAGGACAGTGTATCAAGAAGACGCGAGTCAGCTAATGCCATTAAGGTCAGTATTTTGCATTCAAACTAATACACACATTACGGTATTATTATTATTATCACATATACTTTTATACATTTAGTAGTTTATGCATAAGCTAGAATTTGTTGAATGTGCATTATTCATAATATTAAACCATAGAAGTTATCAGCTGATATGGTCAGGACCGTCAGGTGATCTCTCACACTTGCATGTGATCGCGTGTGATCATCAGATATTTGCTATATGATATGCACAGTGAGTGATTTGTGGACACACACCAAACATAAACATTTTCTGGATGTAAATATTTATTGCATATTATAGAATGAGAAAAAATTACAATTTTTCAAGAACTATCAACTAAGGAAAATATAATGTTACTATAGTTACCATTTTTTCTGTAAAAATGTTAAATGTTTATTGTTATTTTTTGTAGTGTGTTTTTTACAGTAAAAATCTATCTGTGGTTCTAAATACAGAATCACAGTGATGTCAGTAAAATGGTATCCTCAGAAATGATATTAAATCATCAAATTGTAAAAATTAGACTGTTTAAGGAAATCTATTGTTTCCACACCATTTCAGAGTTTAATTATTAAACCTTTAGCTTTTACCATCATTTTGAAATGAGCAATCTGTTCTATTTTTATCCCCTGACTGACATCATTCTCTGGAACTGCATTGTGCATTGATTATATTATGTCTGGACAATAAAAAAAATGGAAAATATTCACTGAAGTGTCTTGAAAAGAATATGATCACTATTTCAAAAAAAACACACTAATGTATACTGTTTCATAATTTCACAAATATTCTTGGCCCATCTCTGCACATCTGTTTCTGTAGAACCAACTACCCACCCACAGACATTTAAATTCATATTTTTGTACATCTACTCTAAGCACAGCTTTACTCAGCTGGTCACTGACTACATGTTGAGTTTTAAATTGTTTATCCTATGTAGTTATTGCTAGTTTCAATTTCACATGTACTAACATGTGAGCTTACAAATTGAAACTTTTGTAGAATCCAAATATTATTTATAGAATTTGTATAATTTTAATATAAAGACAAATATGTAATCTATACCATACTTAAAATCAATTTAATTCTAATAATTTGTAGTATTTTGTGTCACTGTAGAGTAAAATACTAAAAAAAATTTTAATTTTATGAAAGATAAATTTTTGTGAATTTTGTGTGTTGGGGCAAGCTGACAAAATTTCATTAACAGTGCACATTTTATTTATAAGACAGTCAGTGACTTTGTGAAATTTGTCCTCATAAATGTTCTTACTTAATTATCAAATCCACACAATTTGTTACAGTATAACTTAATTGTTAGAATCATACACTTCTTGGGGGTCCAATAGTCTATTCTTTTACCTAACTTTTGTTTTTTTTGCTGAGTGATAGTTGTGGTGTACCATAACACAGTGACATAGACAGTACATGTAGGTCATAGTACAGAATACAATATAGCTCTGGATTGTTTTAATGAATTTAAACGACACATTACAATTATGTAACTTGAATATACTTGTTTCAGTATTTTTCAAAAATTACATATAAGAATATATATATGTCAAAATAATTATGGTCAAAATAAATCTCATTTTAATGGTAGAACAAAAGATGCGATTGTAATCAAGATAATACAGTGCTAGTTATTTTTCGTATTATAAACAAATTTAAGACAAGCATACTTTTTGTAATAAATAATTTTTTTCATTATTTTTAAATATAATATATTTGAATATAATTTTTTATCTGTTTTTGTGTTTATTTACATAGGTGTCTTGTGGTAAATGTGGCAATGGTTTGGGTCATGAATTCCTAGGTGATGGTCCTAAAGCTGGGCAATCAAGATTCTGAATATTCTCATCCTCATTGCAGTTTAAACCAAATAAAGGTATAAGTTTTATTTATGTTGCAGATACAATACATAATTAATAATGTACTATGCCATGGGTCAGTTAAGTAGATAATTTATCAAGTGATGAATATACATGTACTGGTAAACTGTGCTCGTACTTAATGATGTTATCTAAATTATGTTGTTTTGCTCGAGATTTTTTTTATTGCATCTGACTTTATTTAACAATATTACTATCAATATTCAATATCAGCAATTGTCTGTAACTATTATTACTGTATCTTTTCAGATATGGCTGAAACTGTCAATGGGTCAAAGTAAGGAGACTTTGCTGTGAATGCTTACATGAAACCCTGGAAAAAAAGTCTAGTTTTGTATTGCATGAAAGAAACTATGTACAAAAAAACTGTTATGAGATCTTCCATGTGGATGGCAGTGACAACACACTATATATGTTATTCTCACAACTGCTGCACCTCGTTCTCCGATTACAGTAGATTTATCTGTGTCTTTGGATTTGTAGATTGATTATCAGTGGGAAGTATCATATTTGCTCTATTAGAGCATGGAAGGAACGGATTAGAGCATGTGCTTACTATAGAATACTTTATTTTCGCTTAGAATTAATTTTTGCTATTTTCGGTGAAAATAAAATCCAATGAACATGCCGTTGTTCCTATATTCCTACATTCAACTCGTCAAAAATCAGTGAAAATAAATTCCATACAAAACACCCTATTCTCTAGACTATTCAGCGAGAATTAATTCCAGCTAAAATAAAGTATTTTACAGTATGTAAATAACAGATCAGTCTACAGTCCAAATTACCGGTATGTCTTATTTCAATGATCTAGCATTCAATTTTGGGTGTGTGTGCTTCTAATCAAGTACATACTGTAATCATGACAAAATGCATCAATGTGGAATAAAGCTATGAGTATGGACAACCAATTTGATGAAAACTTTAAATTTTTCAGGGAAAAAAATGTTGCATACCATCACACAGCATGATCAGAGTATGCTGAATGGCGCCCTCTACAATCATTTACAATTACCATCAATATGCCAGCATTTTAATACAATACAATTTCTATGCATTTGAATGTATTTTTAACCAAAAGAATATTTTGGCATTATTGGAGTATCAAAGAGGCTAGGTGCTCTTTGTATCACATGTATTTAGAAGGGCCAGGCACACACAGAGATGAAATGTAAAATTGTTCTATAGTGCATGCTTTGGGTTCTGTATTTAAGATGTTATACAAGACAGACAAGTTTTCAGGGTTTCATGTCTTAAGATTATGCACTAGTCATCTTAGCAGACAATACTAATCACTCTTATTTCAATTCTTATAATGTGATTTATATTCAAGTTCAGTTGACTAGTGTATCGTCTAAGGTGTGTTATGAATGCATTGGCACTGTGTTATAGTATTCCTGTCTAATCAATGAGGCGTTCTCGTCGAAACCCCACATGGGGAGACGGGTGCTGCTGATGTTTAAGTGACGTGCTATAATTCACTGCTTGACTTTTCATAACATATCCTTATTTTTAATATTTAAAAACAAAAATCGTTTATCCAAGAGTATAAAAATGTAATATTAACTAAAGCTTTCAAGTTTTTCCATACTGGTGTGTGTGTATGTTATCTGAAAAACCAATCCAATTGCTGACATTTTTACAAATGTCAATGCAATGCAGTGTTTCAATTTTCTATTTAGACTCTTCATTCATGCAATTCAATTTGTGCAATTAAGTACGCATGAAACCTCTTTCTAAGCTTTCTTTTTGGTGCTACAGCGTATGGAAAAATGATTGTTACATAACACAGTAAATTGGTTTAGAATTAATCCATGATTGATTTACAAACATTGTAAGGATGGGATCCAAGGATGTTCATTGACATCTAGTATGGGTTGCAAATACTAGTATTGACTCGACCCTCGTTTGTACCAAGAGTTCATTACTATGGGTTTGAACTAAAATCATATGTAATAAAATAATTTCATTAGCAGATATTTTTTGTAATTCACAATTGTGAAGTGTTTAATGTGATTCATGTTTGTAAATTGGTTACTTAGTACTTAACATTTGTAGGGAGACAATTCCATCAAATTCACTCAAATAATGTTGCTAGATAAGCAGTTTTAGATTTTATTTGTGAAATTTAAAGAGTTCATACAAATGGATAATCTGCTATTTGGTAGAATTAATTTGAATTGGTGTAATTTTTAAAATGTTTATTTACAAGACTAAGTGTTGGCCACCATTAGGGAATATTATTACTATCCAGAATTGTTGGTTACACATTGTCAGTCAGAGAAAATTGGGGCTGTTTGAATGAATTTTTGAGCCATTACAAATTCTTTTCAAGTGTTTTATTGTTGTTTAGTTATTATAATCAGAACTATCAATGGATTGTGAATTTACACATTTCAATATTTGTATCCTGGATGTGATAATAAAATTGATAATCAAAGTATGACATGAGTGAATTACATGACATAGTGAACAAGTCATTGTTAATGACAGTCCCTGTCCAAAATTTTGTGATCTGACATATCAATTTGATGCTGATGAAGTCATTGAGACTAGATTGAAACCATTACCAGTAATAGATGGATTTGTGAAAAATTATGATTTAGTGCTTTTACACGAAAATTAGACACTGGGCAGTCATATTCAATCAAATTACTAAGACGCGCATATGTAAGACATTATGTATTGTCTTCATGTAAAGTTTGAATGAAATCAGTCAATGGGTGTTCGAGATATAGCTTCGTACGTACAGATGGACAGAGTGAACCCAAATTAATAGTCCCCGTTTTCAGACTTCGTCCGAACAGGGAACTAATTGAGCATTCACAATCTCCATAGCAACACTATTTGGTGCACAATCAGAGTGGCAAGTATGTGCTTGCTGGAGTAAATAAATGTACAGCCAAAACATGAGGTATCAGTTTTATTAACAAATTACAATAATCCATACAGAATTACATGAGAATATTACCAGAATTTACTTTGTTCTCAACAAGGCCCATTTCCATTGAAAGAACTGTTCAGAATGATCAAGTTTTGCATGTTCAAAATGATACATATCTTGAATAGCAATACCTTTAATGTGCTGTGTGGCTACATTAACACTCTACTGAATGAAATATGTAGTTCACAAAGATAAATATGTGAATCAGGTCATTGACAAATACAAAAGGATAATGGAGTTGCAAAAAAAACTGCCTAAAAAGTCACCAAATTCACAGCATTACTTCGTTAATATCCTGCAATTCAAACACTTGTGGCAGTCAATGTAATACAATGTATGATAAAAAAAAATATTTGGCTAATCACACTCAGGGCTCCCAATACTCAGGGAGATTCATTCATTTCACTTTTATCTACATCCTGTTTTCCCATCAACTTTGTCATCATCCTCTGTTCTTGCTTCATCTACAGTTTTATCACTGCGTTCATCTTTCATTGATTTTTCTGTGTCTAGTATTTCTCTTGGATCATCTTTGGTTTTCTCTATTTTATCATCGGGAATGTTATCGCTCTCTTTGTTGCCTTCCTCTATGGCAGGTGGGTTAGATTTTACCTTCTCATTCTTTTCTTCAGATCTTTGGCATAGATCTTTACTTTCATTGTTGGCCAGTTTTTCCACTGGATCAGGAACATTAGAATGTTCTTTCTCCTTGCACCTTTGACCTGGCTCATCCTTACTTTCATTAAGTCGCTCTTCAACGACAGCATGCAGGTTATACTTCTTGAGACCATGGAAGTTCTTCACAATACTCATACAACAAATGTTCTTGATGATTTCCACTATAATTGTAATATCTGGCATATTTAAATCCACCTTATGTGGTGAACCTTCCTTCAACACCAGACTTGCCAACATCCTGATAATTTCATCACGTTTTACTTTGCCATTGTTCCTAGCTTTGTACTGGACACTGAAGGCTATTTGGGATGTGCCTTCCACATGAAAAAATGGATCTATGAGACGAGACCCCAGGTCTTCCATATCCTCCATAATAGTGCGACAGGTGCCGTTGACTGGTATCATTCGCTGTATATGACGGGTGATTTTTTCTGATTTCTTAGCAATGTCTGTCAGGATTTGATACGCCATTTCGCCTGGATTATCAATCTGCAGAAATAAAATTATATTATTGAAGGATTTTACTTTACAGAGGAGGAATTATAAGTTTTGCAATTTAGATATTCATATTTAGTGGCATCACAGAACACAGTTGAGGCATGGGAAGAATTGACTGTATGAACATTTTTTTATACAATTTTTTCTTGCTGGATTAAAAAATAGAGGGACTATAATTTCATTACAATGTCACCTAGCGCATCTTTTTCAACAAAAAAATCACATTAACAAACCTTGTGTGACAAATACAATTATTTTGTTTCATTTTATGAGCAACGAAAGTATATTCTAAAAGAAGTTTCAAATAAAAACGAACCCAACTGCATTGCTTAGTAGCAAATGATCGTGGTAGCGCAATCCGATCATGCTGCGTTTCACAATTGTTGATTATGTGGTAAATTATCAGCAAATTTGGAATTTTGGAGTACAATTTTAGAAACTAAAATAAAGTAAAAGTGGAAGCTAAAAAATGTATTATTTGTAACATAAAAAATATTTGAGTAGACAAATGTAAACATGATTTTTCAGCTACTCATGGAGGCTTTTAGTGGGCGATGTGATAAAATGAAATGAAATAGATGTGATCATCCCTAATGTTGAAGTGTTATATTTGTCATGTTTTTTTTTATATATGAGTGTATATGACTGATGAAGACGTGAATTTGTTTTATGGGCATTTATAAATATCCTGAAAGATCCAAAGCCACTGGCATTCAAAATTGTACTATTTGATTTAAGAGGGAAAATATTTGAAAAGCTCATAATTTGTGGTAACAGTATAAGTATAGAAGTATAGAATTTCAAGAGATACCTGTGTTCTGATAAAAACTACATTATTAGCACCAGACTGCATAGGTTGGAACCGTTGTGTCTTATTCTTGATCTGTTCTTTCAATCTTCTTTTTTCCTTTTCTAAACTTACTTCAATATCTTCTTCACTATCAGAATCTACATTCGGGGAAGACAACAAGAATTCTTACCAATAGCATTGTTTAGTATTATTGGTATGTGCCATAAATGATGTCATTTACATTAAGGCATTAATTAATGTGACTAATTTAAATAATTTCTAATTTCATGAGAGACCAATTGTCTCATTTGACAACTTTTATCATGCCTAGTGAATTGCTCATAATATTCCCAGCCATTGGACCTTATGAATCAAACCATGAAGTATTCTCATCTTCCTGTAAAACATACAGCCTGAGCCACTCAGAACTAAACAATGGTCCCTCTGCAAAGAAGCCTTGTGTGCAATGTACACATAGCAATCACTACCCTACCAGATACCAATTTTTACCAGGGTAGATAGAAGCATGGAAAAGTGCCTTATACAGAAACATGTTTGTCCTAGAAAGGCTCTGCAAAATGTTGATATAAACCATTACCATTATCTGTTGATTCTTTTTTGTCATCATTTTCTGGACCATAAAATAGATCAGCATACTCAGTTAGTAGATTCAATCCATCACGAACACAAGCTTTTTCATCTCTATTACAAGTGAGCAGAAATCCCCTCATACCGACATTCAATATACCATGTACTTTGCGTCTTTTATTTGATGATTTTCTATAGTAAGATTTTCCTCTTTTTTGTGACATTGTATTAATTTAAATCTTCCACACTGCAAGAGAAACATATATTTGTATTTACTATACTATATCTCTATTTGTAAGGAGGTGATCCACTGATACCTTTATATCCATGGCATGCTGAATGCTTGTTTTGATGATGCTGATGGGTTACTACAGTTGCCAAATATCGGAATATTCACTTCTGATACTGAATAAGGAACATGTAAAGCACAATTGTTCCGACTCTGTGGCCAAAAAAAAGAGTCATATGAATAATAATAATTGCACAAATAGATGTCAGCTATTAGCACGTGATCAAAATGGACAATGTCAACCAGCAGCAACTGTACCATGTGATCAAAGTAAATGTCAGTTTATAATATTTTCAAAGTTGCAAA